CTTTCGTGTTTGTCGCTTGTGTGCCTTGTAGGTTGGTTGCCTTGTTGTTGGTGCCTTGTGCTCCGCTCCATGGTTGTTGAGCTGCTGGTTCGCTTGCCCTGTCGTCCCTTGCAGTGTGGTTGCCTTCCTTGTGTTGTCTTGTGCTTCACTACATGGTTGCTGTGTTGCACGTCCTGTGTGCCATGTCGTTCCTTACAATCGTTTTTGGTGTTGTGCAGCCGTGTTGCCTCTACTGTGTTGCCTGGTGCTCCACAGGGTTGTTGCCCGCTGCTATGTTCCACTTGGGGACAGTCTGCCTTCACCATGGGTCAGAGGGTTCATGACCCAAACCATCAAATACGGCGATCCTGCAGACTGTCGAGGTTTCAGCCTCCTGATGAGTCGGTGCAACTCTGATGAAACAATCTATCATCAATTTTTCTTTTTTTCGGTTTGTGTTTTTTTGTTACTTTGTCTATTGTCTGCCTTGTTCTGTTGTTGCCTTGCTGCTTCTTAACTTCCTGTCCGTGGTTTCATCCCAATCATGGGTGCTCTGATTTCACCTACGGTATGGATTGGTTTATGCAAAGGTGTTGTTGTCTTTCTTTTTAGGGAATCATGTATGCATGCCCTGTTACGCTGCTTGGCACGCTCGCGGAGTTCTATTTATTTCAACACACACACACACATTGTCCACTTTTTTTTTTTCTTTTTTCGATTGGAGAAAACTAGGGCGCGGTCAGGGTTTTCGAGTCCAGACCCCTCTGAAGTTTACACTGCACGCCAAACTCCGCCGTCGTGTGCCTGTCGCAGGGCAGAGTTTGTAACTGCAGTCTAGTCGTCCATGTCGGAGGGCCAGGCCGTTTTCCAAAAAAGAAAAGAAGAAACAAGAAGGGAAAAAAAAAGTGTAGCGCTGTATCTTTCCATGTTCTACCGAAGGATTCACTCTCTGTTTCCACGATAGATCTCAAAATGTGCAAAACCAGAGTGAATTTTCGCTAGAACATGGAAAGATACAGCTCCATGATTTTTGTCTTCTGTGCAACGGGAATACAGGGGCCCAGCGGGATACACGGGTTAACAACAATGCAGAGGCCTTAGGGAAGACGCGTGCTGATAACAACCCAATTTCTTTTCTTCCTTTTTTTTTTTTTTTTTTCCCTTCTCAGATTTCCCGACGGATGCGTGTCATCCTTGGGGTCTCGTGGCGGTGCATCTTTCCATGTTCTAGCGGAAGATTCACTCTCGTTTTGCCTGGCTCCACTACTCTCGAAATGTGCAAAACGGGAGTGAATCTTCCTCTAGAACATGGAAAGATACAGCGCCATGATTTGTGCCTTTTGTGCATGTCAAGAATAGTCGAGCAAGGCCCTCAATATTTTATTCATTTTTTAAAAATAAATTTAGGCCCTGTCGCATGGATGGCCACGACCACTATGCCTTGGCCACATCCGAGGTAAAAAAAANCATGGATGGCCACGACCACTATGCCTTGGCCACACTCGAGGTAAAACACAAAAAAAAAAAAAAAAAAAAAAAAAAAAAAAAAAAAAAAAAAAAAAAAAAAAACAAAAACAAAAACAAAAACAACATCTCTTCACGTGCTTGGACCATGGCCGCGATGCCTCGGCCACGTCCGGTTCTAAAAAAAAAAAAAAAAAAGAGCCCACATGCCGGACTGGACTGTAGTTGCAAACTCGACCTTGCGACTTTTATGCGTGTGAAGTGTTTTGACTGCAGTTGAAACTTGGGACGGTACTGGACTCCAAAAAGGGAGTTCAAAATGCATTTACAAACTGCTTTCGTGACTGCGCCCTAGTTACCCCTTTCGATTGATTGATTGATTGGTAGGGGAGGGGTCCCCCCCACCACCAACACACACTCACACACACTCACATTTTTGTGTATTCCTATCTTTTTTTTTTACGGTCTTCGTTTCTTATTTTTTTAAATACCAGAAAATCAGTGGTTTGGAAATATATATGGGGTTGTAGGGTTTGAGAAACCCTACAACCCCTTTTTTTTCCATTTATTCGGGGGGGGAAATCCCCAAAGGCCGTGGCTGCGACCCAACCGCAGCGGTCCGCGAACGAGGTTAAGATGTCGACCGCCCACCGGGATCGACCCCGTGGTCGAGTAGCTCCTGTGTGAAACATGGACCTTCCCCCGGAATAACATCTTTGAGGATAATATGTTCATACTTCCTTTCAGCCCCTCGCGATCCTTCGATCACAAGATGATAGCCATAGGCCTCGTATCGCGCTCCCCTTTCGAAAGAGGTCCCAGTTTCTTCAAACTCAACACATCACTGATCAAACAACCGTCTTTCCAACGGTGTGTCAAGGAATACTGGGAGTTCTGGCAGTGCAAAAAACAGGAGGACGGGTCAGTGGTCGAGTGGTTTAATCAAGGAGGACTATATGGTGGAGAAGATGTTGTTTGGAGTTAGAGGGGGCGTGGGTGGAGGACGGAGAGGCTATGGAACAAATTCGGAATTTGATTCATCTTGAGCTGGTGACCCAATGGAAGACAACTAAAGTCAAGCTCGACCAAACGTCTTCCTGGGGAGACATGAACGGGATCATTGCTACATTCTGCGAGGACTGGCTGGGGGGAGAAAGGGAGGGATGGGTGGCAGCGGTGAAGTGGACCGGCCGTCAGACAGAGAGAGAAGCACGAGGGGAACTCCGGGCAGAAATACTAAGAGACTATCAGTTGGTCTTTCACGACTGGACCAAGATAGACCCCGGCTCCCCGTTACGTCCCGCCCAGGACTTTGCAGATCCGTTCCCACCCCATCCGTTGTCCTTAGCAGAAATTTTGCCGCCTGCATGAGCTCGGGGATTCTTAGATCGCGCTCAGAACAAGCCCGACTTTCTGGTTCTCCAAATCATACTTCCCCTATTCTTGGCATTTTGTCTACTCCTACTCACCTCAGCTTACTTCAGTTCGAATGTAAGACATCACTGTTCATCTCAGAATAACCCTAGGGTGAGTGGAAGACAACTGTTGTCTGATGCTGTCTGATGCTGTCCGATTGTACTTAAATGAACTTCATTTCGGTCCGGACCTGCTTCTCAGTGAAGTTGTTGTATAGTATCCTTCCAGAAAGTCTCAGAATGGTTCAGCTGATTTCAGCTGTCTTAAGTTGTCTTCAGCTGGCTTCAACTAAATTCAGCGGACTTCAGCAGATTTCAGTGCAGCTCAGTGCAGCCTAGTTCAGCCTATTGCTTTCTGTTTTTCCAGTTGTTCCAATTATTTTTCAAAACACTTGCTATTGCAGATGTGCAAAGACACAATAGGCGCCAAGAGGATAGTAGGTGGTTGGAAGAGGCTAGGGGACTCCACTGGTGCCCCCCGGTGGTTCCCCCCCCAATACCCGACCGTGCGGCAGGTTAGGCATGGAAGAGTAGATTGAACACGGGACGCTGGACCCGGTTTCCAGCACATTGGCGTCACTTTCATTGATGTACTGTTTTGTAAGGATGTATTTAAGGGACGCTGGACCCGGTTTCCAGCAGGTGTTGCTCCCCACCAATAGACGGAGTGGCCCGCTAAAAAAAAAATAAAAAAAAATGAAAGGAAAAGAAGCAGTAGGCAGAAGCAACAACACGAAAGATGTTAGTTCGTCTGTGACAGGTAATGAGAGCCATCGTTGGCGGGTTGGAGTAGGGAGGGTACTCGTACTACAAGAAGTAAAAAGAGAAGCAAGGAAGGGGAAAATCCAAAGGCGAGAGGAAGGGGAGGAAAGAAGGACACGGTTGAGAAAGAATACCAGATGATAAGGAAAGGAGTAACAAAAGCACGGGAAGGTGGTGCGGAAGGTAAGAGGAACAGAAAGCACTGAGGTGATATAGCGAAGCGCCCCAGTAGAAACAAGGGGAGACTATTATTGTCAGGAAGGTGCAGCTCACAGAAGATTAAGAGGATGAGTAAGAAGTCCAGAAACAGGCAAGGTCAGAGAATCAAGAGGATCGGTAAGAAGTCCAGAAACAGGCAAGCCCCTCCCCCACCTCAGCTCCTTGCTCTCCAGTGCCACTGAGCCTTTTCCCCCCCGGAACTCGCAATCTACCCAAGCCAGCAAAAAACATACTCCAACAAAAAAAAATAACAATTAAAATTTGGACAAACGATTAAGATGAATATGGGATATGGGAAAGCCAACTTGAAAGGAATGGGACAACTCATCTTCTACCAAGGGGCCATGAGGCACACTCTCAGTAGACATCTGACTCCTGGCCCATATGAAAGACCATGGAATCAGAACCCTCCTCAGCATCGGCTGGCCAGTCCCCCTCATATGGACAATGCACATGCACCCTCCTCCAATGACGCAACCCAACAAAATATTTGGAACCCAGGCTCAACAGGATCTGCAACAAGCAAGAGGGCGTGTAGTGCAGAGAGTGTGGGCAAGGATTTCCCCCCCCTGCAGGACCAGGTCATGGGAAGAGGGGAGGAAAGGGGGAAGGAAGAAGGCATGATGACAACGGGGATTGAAGAAGAAGAGATGTTAATGGAGGAAGAACAAAAACAGGAACGAGGGAAACAAGGAAAAGAACCGAAAGAATCGGAAGGAACAACAGAAAAATCAACCACAGAACAAGTGAAACCCTCATGGGCACAGCAAGTGAGAAACACAATTCAGGAAAAATCGTTGTCTATTAAACGACGACCTACAAACTCTCAACGGGGACCCACAGAAGATCTAAAAGTGCCCCTTAGGAACTTGTCATCGGCAAGAGCATACTTCCTTACCCTCTTCCTCTCTCCCTCTGAAAGTCTGGTTGTGGACCAAGGGGGGCGTAAGACTATGATAAAAACATATCCAGCCGATAAACTAGAGGCAAGAGATCAAGCGTACATAAAACATGGCAGTAATTGACTGTTTTAGGGGGAAGTCACACAAAAATTAGTTAATGAAAAAATAAGATGGATCTGTAAGAGGTTGGAAGAGAAATGCAACCCGGAGGCCGTCCCAGAGTTCTTTCTGATACAACCTATGTCATCAACTGTCTTCACGATCTTAAGCCTGTTTACTCAAGACAAGCAGTGATCTTAAGCCGCCCTCAAAAAAAAAAAAAAAAGGGAACGAAAAAAAGTCATTGAGGACCTTCTCAGTACATTAGAAAAATGAGACGACAACTTGTCTTCTGCCCCTCTGGACAACCAAACATATGATAACCTACAGCGGGCGAGAGACTGCCTCCAAGAATACCTTGAAGTCCAAGCGGAGACATGGAGAATCCGGGCCAGAATCAAGCGTATACACACAGACGGGACCCTGGCGAAAACCTTCTTCCAAAAGGCCAGGATGAGAGCGAAGCAGACCACCATAATTTCACTCAAACATCCATTGAATGCTGACCAACCGGAGGCCGCAAACCCATACGCTGTCACGGATTACGCCGCTACGTACTATCAAGATTTGTTCACCTCCAAACAGTCCCGGTGCCCTGCAGATGCAATGACGAATGCGAGGTTACAAATGCTGCAAAGTCTCGAAGCCGTTCTCTCACCTGACCACCGCTCTGCACTGGAACACCCGCTCGCCCGGGAAGAGATTTTCGCTGCCCTTTAACAAATGGATGAATAAAAAATACTGGGATTGGACTCGTTCCCAAAAGAGTTCTGACTCGCTTTCTGGGATCTCATGGGACCGGACATCATGGAATTCATATATGCAGTCCTGATTGAGGGGACGTTAAGAGGCCTTCTAAACCAAGGAGTCGCCACCCTTATCTATAAAAAAGGCTCGAAGAACGATGTCCGGAATTACCGACCCATAACACTCTTGCCTGTCCCCTACAAACTCGTGGCGAAGGCACTCACAAACCTCATGCTTCCTCATATGTCAAACCTCATTCACCCTGATCAGTCTGGATTCATACCAGGAAGGATCATACAGGATAATATTTTTTTGGTGAATGAGACTATCAAATACGCGAGGCAAAAAAGAAAGGAAGCGGCGGTTATGTTCATAAACTTCGAAAAGGCCTATGATCACGTTGATTGGGTCTTCCTCGACCGGTGCATGGAAAAGATGAATTTCGGCCCCCTCTTCAAGAAATGGGTGGATACCCTCCACAGAACTGCAATGACTAACATAATGGTGAATGACCATCTGTCCAACCCGTTCCCGCTCCAACGGTCGGTCAGACAAGGTGACCCCATCGCCCCGCTGCTGTTCGTCATAGTGATGGAAGCCCTGGCCACGACCATTAGAACAAACCGAATATAGAAAAAAATGATGTGTCGAAAATCCCACACAACCGCATTCCCGTGACATCGCTCTTTGCTGACGATCTAACAGTGCTCACCAAAGCCAACCGCTCCTCGTTATAAACACTGGTCACCACCATACATACCTTCTCGATTGCTTCGGATATGGTGGTGAACTGGGGCTCCAAAACTGAAGGGTGGTGGCTTCACCCCCAAGATCTCCCTCCCCCTCCAGACCCGACGATGGCTTGGAGACCCAGGGATGAAGCCATATGGGTGCTAGGAGTCCGTCTTACTGCGTTGGGTCCCCTGCAAGACCATGGGGTCTCCCTGGTGGATGAAGCATTGAGAAGAATGACCAGGTGGAAAGGGTTGCACACTTCAATTGTCGTCAGAGCACTCGCACTCAATACCGCAATCTTTGCTGCAATGTGGTACAAAGCCGCATGCTGGCCGATCCCGCCAAAGCAGATCCAGAGGTTGAGAAAGGCAGCAGCGGCATATGTGTGGAAAAACGATCATGAGGATCCCACATTCCTCTCTAGAGTGGCATGAGACAGCACTGCCCAACCCAGATCAAAAGGGGGCCTGGCAATCTAGGAACCCTGGGATCAGCTCAAAGCCCTTGCCTTTAAAACAATCACCAGGCTGCTGATGGGAAATGATGCCCTGTGGGCCCCTTATGCCCACATTTAGATTGCCAACCTTGCCCCCTTTTCGCCGCCTGGCATGAGGGTCCACCCCCTGCAATGGCTGACCAACCCGGCATGGCCGATTCCGAGACTATCCTCAACGACTCCTCCCCTTTCGAACCGAGTTCAAACAACAAATGACATAACCAACGACCCTCTATGGCCCAGCATGCTAAAACTATGGAGAGAGATGGGCCCCCGACGCCTGCCTCCCCCCCGGAGATGGCATGAGATAGTGAGGCAACTGCTCTTCGGTAATCCCTTCATATGCGATGCTGAAGGCGTGCCCTTCCAACTATCCAAACGCTCCCACTGGACACAATGGGTCGCGAAAGGGATCTTCACAGTAGGGGATATCTGGGACTTCCAAAAAGGGGCTTGGAAAACAGCGGACCAACTGCACGGCCAGTGGAGGTATGTTAGACGAAGGGAAGACAACCTGGAAAAACTCCAGGAAGCCATCCCCCTCGCCTGGATCCACCCCTTGAAAAACGGACCTTCGATCGTACAAGGGGATTGGGTGGTCCGCTGGCCCCAGACAGGGGCCCTGCTGTGGGTGGGCAAAGTTGTGGAGCTAACGGATCAGACTGCCCATGTCCACGCATACGAGACAATATCCCAGGGAGCCATGTTTTCTGAGTTGTGCAGAAATCGGGATGGTGATGCTCATCTGAACTGGGCGAGTTTGGTCAGAGTGCGGGTACTACCGTACTGGAGGGGAAGGACCACACCTGCTTCGCCTTCCAACCGACCTCCCTGATTTCGGCGCTCCCTTTTGACCCACTGGAGTGGCAGTGGCCCCAAAATGGTGCCACTAACCCGGTCAGGGCATGGGAATATACGGTCAAACAAGGATACCGAATAACACACAAGACTCAGGCTACAGCATCGACAATGCAAAAAAGATGGGAAAAGGATTCCAGTTTACCCCCGATGGACCTGGCTGACTTTAGATGGGCCCCATATACACACATAATACCGACATCACACTGGGCCCTTCAATGGCAGATTCTGTATCGCTGCCTGCCTACCCCAGACTGGATCGTCTCAAGGACCGACCTGGAGCAGAGAGGCCTCCTTTCCCCCATCTACCCATACTGTGACTGGTTCTCTCAACCTTCTCGTGCCACGCTGGAGCATTGTCTGCTGGGTTGCCCCATGGTCACCCAGATCTGGAGATGGTGGGATGCAGCCTGGACGACTCTCACCGGTTCTAGCTTCCCATGGGAGCCAAGATTGTTAGTCCTCGGGGTCTCAACAGATCCCCGGCCTGACTGGTTCCCCTACGAAGAAAATCTGTTCCGCATGGTGAGAATTAAACTGTTGATGCTCGCTTGGCGGGCCCGCTGTTCATTCGAGAGAAACCAGCACACCTTCGCTGCCCACCAAGCAAAGGAACACCTGTCTCAATACCTGGTTGGGAGAGTTAGAGCTGCTTGGGACAAGACCGACCAAGAAATCGTGGAACTAAGTGGCGACATGTCCCTCTCAACATCCCAAAAGCGGCTAAAAGAAAATGAACTGATAAACCACTTCACGGAGGACTGGTTGGGTCCCAGAAGAGTCATGGCTGATCTCCACGGCTCCCAACTGCAATTGAAGAACTGGAGGACGGACGAGAAGGAATGGCCACTCAAACCGTACTCCCACTTCATGATCCCCCACTCTGCAAATCCCCCATCCTTTGTCCTCCTCTCGGGATGAGCACTTCACTCAGATACCGCCACCCCCCCCCACCCCCTCCCTCCCTTCCCCTCGCTCCTGCATCCCCGAAAGCTGGTCACAGGAAAAGGCGGCAACAGATGAAAGATGTCAAATCACCAAGACAAGAATGTTGGGGAGATGTGGGGAGATGTGGTGCCTCAACGAGGAACATGGCGACTGTCGCATCGACTCTGACATCAGCAGGAGGGGCCGCCTGCCCCGACCACGAAAATGAGGAGATTGAAGGAAGTTCAGGCAGATGGGATACAGTGATATACTATTCGTACGGCCTGCCCCACGCTCCAAAGGAAGGCTCCTCGCTATGCTTCAAGTTCACTGCATGCAACCGAGCTGTACGCAGGCTCTACTGTGCGGCTTGAAAGGAACGCTCTTCCCTCCGTTACAGACAATGCTCACAGGGGCCAGGGAGAGTTTGGAGAGGGTATGGGGTTTAAGACATCAATACTATTAACAATAGGGCCTTGGTATCCAACACAAAAAACAAATTGACATACAATATTCGCACGGGCCAAGGCGGCTTATGAGTTTACAATATTAGTTTACAAAATTAGTAAAGCAAAATGGGGTCATTGTGACATGAGCAGCCACTTCCACCTGGCAGTGCCCTGACACCCTTGCATTCCCATGGGTTACAGGGCTGCGGCACAGCTCACCCCAGGGAGCTACCAGTGTTGACTCGCCCTGGCGATCCTCCTCAGGCCTCATCGGGGCTATCATTGTGCCGCTCAAGCATGAAACCTGCCGGCCAACAGGACGAAAAATGGCCCTCCTACGACGGCGCTTTATGCACGCGCGGAATCTCTCGACACTAGAGGAGGCCACATCACAGGCTGATGTGGCACGTAGTCTGACACTTGGCATTCTACGTGTCCCGCATATGATTCCCATAGTCGTCATCTTAAACTATGAGGTGGCATGTGACTCCCGTGACTATGGCGTAAGGACGTAGTCAGTGGAAATCAGCGGAGAAAGCCCTGAGTGAGCCGAAGTGTGGAAAGTGCGGCAAATCTGACAAGCGAGAAGAGCAGGGGGTAGAGAGATCGTGGAAGTATAGTGGGTGGTATGGGATGTTGCCACGGGGAACGATGAGGATATCATAGCAAAGAGTAATGTGGCAACAGTGAGGGTGTGCCAAGAGCTTCCCGTTGTCATCCAGTCATCAGCGCCATTCCCGGCCATTGTGACCGCGCCTATGAGTCGGAAGGGAGAACGAATCCGATGCCCGACAGAGAAGACACTAGAGCAAGTAGGTGCTCTGCAGATCATAATTGATCGTATCGTCGGTGGCTTTTGCGAGCACGTACGTGAGTGAATCTTGGTGGTATGGGAGGATATTAAGAGGCATGACGCGGTCGGAATGGAGAACGAATCCCATGCCCGTCAGAGAGTGCATTAGAGCCAGTAGGCGCCCTGCTGATTGTACGTGATCGTATCGTCGGTGGCGTCCTGTGGGAACGTACGTGAGAGTATCATTGGCGGTGTGGGATGATACTAAGTGGCACGTCGTGGATATCAGATCAAAGAGGTATGAGGCAACAGTGAGGGTGTGCCACGTGTGTTCAATTGTGAAAGTATCGACGAGAGTGAAATCAGAGCAAAAAGTAATGTGGCAGCAGTGAAGGGTGCGCCTTGTATGTCCCGTGGTAATCCAGTCATCAGCGCTAATCCAGTCATTGTGGTCACTAATTACAAGTCGGAATGGAGAAGAATCCGATGCCCGACAGAGAGAGTACTAGAGTGCAGAGCAGGGGATGATGACAGGGCAGAACGAAGGGGATATTATATCAAGAACAATGAGGTAACATTGTTGGTGCGAC